CAAACAGCCAGTATGTCTTAAGGTGGGGGAAGGAAACTGTAGCATGGTGATGAACCCAAATGACCATGGGAAGGCCATGCATTTCTCACACAGAAAGCAAACCAGACTGCAAGGAAACCTAGGACCCAGGAGAGGCTAAGAATCAGCACTCATGATCACAGCGCTATGTACCCAGCTTTGATGTCATATCCTGTTGTACACATAAAAATGTAAACAATTTTGAGAAAACAAGCGTTAAAACATTTGGAAGTATATGATTGCTGTAGGTCTTTGACTTTACCCAAGTTTCACTAACAGGAACTTCCCTGATCAGTGCTCTGAAATGTTTGGGAATTAAAGGTCCAGTGAATTTGACAATTTCATTGTTTTCAGTTATGAGAAACAAAAAGTCACATTCCATCCATTATAACAGTTGCAATTGACCAGTTAAAAATGTTATAATCTTTAAAGAGTATTCTTAAAATAAGCACTTAAGAGTTTCCCTGTTGAAGATAGACAGGTTATAAAGAAAAACTTAGGCGACACAAACTTCAGTGGGAGCTAATCATTAGCTCAAAGCCAAACACATCAGTAACAATTAGACTTGGTGATGACAGTGGGAGGTACCACACAGGAAACAATAGTACAGTTAAGATTATGCAATACAGAAATTGGCATTTGTCTAATTCATTTATCAACATAATAAAATGTTTATAAGATCTTAGTGTAATATCCAGAACAGAGAAAGAAATAAGAGGCATGAAAAGAAGAAAGGCAGAAAAAGGGAAACGGTTAGGCAGCAATTTACCTATAATGGTATTTGTACTCGAACTATGGCACAGGTGGCTATGCCAGACTTGAGTCTTGGTTTATCCAACTTCAGACGTAATTTTCAGAAAAGCCTCTTTGCCTCTGAGGGTATGCGTGCAGAACACGTAATCCAAACGCCTTAGATTAAAGGTATTTAATCTTAATCAAATCAAACACAGCTGATGCGGCTGTATCAAGCACATGTCAAAATGCTGTTCTTGTGAATGTTATTACTGTACGTCTCCCTTCCAAATGGACACCATTTTTAAAAATGTCATTCTTCAACCTTCACTGCAGTCCACCCCTTTCACTTTTTACTGCAAGAAACATCTCCATGGTAAGAACTAAGCAAAACAGAATATAGTGATATTTTAAGCAGCTCCCTTGAAAAACATCAAAATTAAATTCCATCAAATATAAAGGCATATTTTAATACAAGAAGTCCTGAAATAACATAACTACACAAAGAGAGTGCTGCAAAAAATCTTAACTTCAATAAAGTTACTTGCTCTCATTTTTTTAAATCTGCAGTATCCCTTTTCTGCATAAAATATCCATTATGAGGCTCACATTTCATTCCTGTAAGGTACAGTATTCTCCTTCTAGGGCACCACATTAAAAGAAAGGATTTTGCAATACAATAGATTAATAAAATGGCAACTTCATATCCTGGACTCAGAAAAACCATACAATTTTGGAAGAAAATAAGATATTTTGACCTGAAACTAAGGATATTTTTTGTAAGAGAATTCATGACATTTAATCAGGGAATTCAAAACACTGGCTCAGATTGAAATTGGCAGCCACTTTCAAACTTGTCCACCTGCGAGCTCATTCTCCTTCACTGAAGGCAGTGACTCAGCAAGGAAAGAACTGGTCATTTTGTTTCCATGGCAACAGCAGAAGCTGAGGGCACATCTAGCTTTGCTCACAATGATGCTGAAGGAATATTAATGTCAACAGAGGGCGCAGTAATAGAGCCGCTTGTATTTGAGGGACATTTAGACATGGGGAAAATGTAAACACCGCTAAAATGTTTTATGATGTGTTCTCCCAATTTCTAACTGCTGTGACAATAAACCTCCCACCCCCTTTCCACATCTCCTTGTGAATAGTTAGTGTGGCTTCAGTGTCTTATTGTCACTTTTTAGACAATGTCAATACCTGCAAACCTAGGCGTGAGCTGTCGAGACTTGAAGAAAACCTAAGCCAAGTCTTCCTGGAATGTCGTTTCCTTTTGTTCAGGGTAAAAAAAAAAGAAAACAAAACTTGGCCATGCTGATGAAAATGTGAGACTGTCAAAGTAACATTATACTACAGTGACACCAGGAGTGCGGTAAAGACCCAATCGGAAAGAACTGAACTCTTCCAAAACATTAAGCGCTTAAAGGGCAAAGAAAAGCAGCTTTATTAAGTGCCTTAAAAGTATTTAGAACAGAAAGGAAAGGAAGGCTGAAAAGAAGAGGGGATAAATATCATATAACTTATAAAAAAAATTGAAAGACCAGAATCTTTAAAGAAAATGTTGACAAATAGTTAAAGGAAAAATGAAAGAGAATACTGTACCTTCAGTAATTCTAAGTCCTATTTTCAGATTCAAGCCCAGGCCACCCCTAATCCAACCATATTTAGCGTGGGGGACAAACCCAAAACCAGGCTACAAATGGACAACCAGTGAAATCCAAATTTTTAAAAAACAACTTTATTGAAATTAAATTTGTATTAATTATAAAAAAGTACACAATTGTACAGTTACATTCTTTTGCATATGATTGAAATAGGAAAGCAATCTCAATGTCATTAGAAGGGGATAACTGCAGTTTTAAATACAAATTAACTCCATTATGAAAATGAGACAACATATCAATACAGGGGTCACATTTAACAGCATTTAAAATTAACTGCCAAAATATTCATTAAACACATTTCATTATGGATAAACTATAAAAGTCCTCTTAAAAAACTTTAATTACATATGTAAAGTGAGATACCCTGACAGCATGCAGTCTTTCATTACACAGGTTAGAAGTTCCAAGCACCATCAGCTCTATTGAAAATGGTAAACAAATGCTGTCTGTTAATTCACAGCTACTTTGCAATTTTAATGTAGCTTATCAATTTTTAATTTGTATCAAATGAACCTCTGAATTCTGACACACAGCTTCTTACACAAATCAGACTAATGGATTCTGTCCTTTTGCGAGTCATAGCACAAGTAAACTAGAAAATTAAATAAAAACATTTTAAAATCGGGGAACTGTTCTCAACACATCAGACTTCAGTCAGAAGCAGAAGTAAACTGTACTACGATGCTGGTTTATATGACAAGGGGCTAAAAAGTTTTATCTGCTTTTTTATACACCACTGTGGATTTTTCACTACAAACCTTTGACTAGGAGTATGATATCAAATTATTTGTTATACAAAGTAGAACAGGGCGGTGGTTACAGCACATTCCAAAATAAAAATACAAATTGTTCAACTTTAAAAGGAGATTTTGACCCCCCCAAAGACTATATATATTACTGAAAGCTAATATTCAGTTTCATGTTTGATATTTTAAGTTTAAAACTGAAATCAAGAAATTACTGAAGACTGAAAAGCTGTTGGGATTCATATTCAAACACTTATGACTTGAAAAGAATCAATTAAAAAAATTAAATTGAACATTTTATGACTCATGCTAAATATTGGCATCGGGATCAAAAAATAAAACAGCATATGCTAATAAATTTTTAGATTTTTGCATCAAGAAAAACTGACGAGAAAATAATAAATATAAATAAATAAGTACAAGAATTACATGAACAACCAGGATGCACATATAATGCACACTGAGCCTTTTCTTCAAAAACTAGTTAAAGATCACTTTCCCAGCACAAGAATATCAAGCACTGTATTTAGACTGGTAATAGTTTAACCTAAAACAGTTACTGGAAACACCTAAGACAGAGAAAAATACCAGAAGTAAACAGTAACTCCAATGGAGCAACGAAATCAGAACCCTGCATACTTCCAAAAAGAGTGTAGTTAAAATGTGACCCTTTGTTGAATGAAAACACAAACACACATATACTTAGCCACCAATAATATAAACCTTCTGAAGCTGAATCATTCATCGTAAAAACTAAAAAAAATAATTATTAACACATGTACAAATGTAAATTCAATTAAACTGCAATTATTTCTTAAATGGCTTAAGAGATCAAAGGAAATTACCATTTAGTTTGGTTTGCTTTGCGCTCATGAAGATGGAATGCAGTCCTACTTGCTCAGTGCTGCAGGCTTCTCACCTTTAAATTAGATATGTTGTAGAGCAAAGTGTTGATCTAAACCACCCCTCTCAACCTTTGCTTTTTAAATGTGCTATACAAGTTTTGTGACTCTGAAACCTCATTATACGCAGGTATTTAACAGCCCCAAGAACATAGATTAGGCACTTTCGACAAAAGGGATGGGATGAAATTACCTGCTATTAATCTTTGAAAATAATTTACTCAAGCCACAGTAAATGAAAATGGTATGATTTAAATCATTTTTCATTTGCTTGTCATAAGGTTAAGAGGTAGGAATTGAAAATTATTTGGAGCATAATCGCAGGGAAAAACGTATTCCTATATATTGCATTTTGCTTAACATCTCCAGTGTTAGCATGTTCGTCCATGGTCAAGAAATCAGTCTCTCCAAACTTTACCCAGTCAAAAGGAGGATTTCTAATTAGCCCAATTTTAGCTCAATCTTTTAGGCATGTACTGAGAATGTTTAAAAATATTCAGATGTATCATACGAAAAAAATAATAACCATGTTTTATACATGAAAAAATCTAACAAATATAATAAACTGTTCTTTTAATTAAAGAGATTTTACTTTTCAGTATGTCTAGAAATTAACACAAAGTTCAACTTGTGAAATGTGTGCACTCTGCTCTATTACACATTCAAAAAAGGAGTCTGCATAGATCTTTTTCTTCCTTCATAGCTGAAGCAAATGCAAAGAAGCCACAGCAACTAGAAACACTTCCTTCAGTCAAAGGTAAAACAAAGTAGTGAAATATCCATTCTGTACATTCTGTAGCATAGAATTTTTTTTAAATTACTGAGCAAATAAAAAAAAAAATCTTTGGTTTCAGACAAGTCCATTCCTACCACACCTCATTAGTCCACATTATGTTCCTGTCCAACCCTGCTGTGTTTAGGAAGTCATCTCCTACCTGTTTGTTGCTGTATTTCGGAGGATTGGCCTTGTAGCTGTAATCCGAATACTGGTCGGAGCCTGTGGAATTGTTGTCTCCAGTCCCGACAAAGGTGTTGGTTGCTGGGAGGTCTTGCACAGCTTGGTGCTTCTTAGATGCAGAGGGAGACTGCGGTTGAAGTTGGATGGAAGGAAGGGGGGAATTTGAGCGGTAGTGACGGCCAAGATCAGGGCTGCCAGGGGGGTAATTGAGGGGTAAGTGGATTCTGGGGCTGTCGGTGACTCCATCATTTATTAGATTGAATTTTAAAGTCTTTTGAAGACTGGCTTCCTCATCCTCTTCTATAGGCTTTGCTGGTTTGGGGGCTTTACCTTTTTTCCCCTTTTTTCCTTTGCTGCTCTTCGGGCCCTGTTTTGGTGCATACAAATCCTTGGTCTCTTTCTTGCCAGCTTGGTAGCCACTCTTAGCCTCTTTTTGCAGGTGGTAGCGAATGACCACGACAATCACAATGACCAAGATGACCCCAGCAATCCCTGCAAGGCTGCCGTATAGAATGTTGCTGCGTTGGGCAGCATGTCTGTAATCAGGATCACCAGCAATGTCTGTATCTAAAGGAGTGTATAGACTGTGCCCCACAAGCGACTCCACTAATGTGACATTGTTGATTGTCTCATTCACAAAGATGTGCACCAAAGCCGTTGTATGCTTTGGAGGTTTCCCTTTGTCACTCACTTTCACAACTAATCTATGAAGTCCATTATGCTTCCGGAGGAACTCTTTAGCTAAAGTGATCTCGCCTCCAGAAGGAGAAATGCGAAAAAGCTCATGGGGATTGCCACCTGTGATACTAAATACCAGCTCTGCGTTAGGGCCAGTATCGATGTCTTCAGCCTCAACTTTCTCAACTGTTGTATCAGGGCTGGTTGAAGGGGACAGGTGCTTGTAGGAGGAGTTTGAAGGTTTGGTGACAAAAGGTGCATTGTCATTTTCATCAAGCACATTAATGGTCACACCAACATAGGAGGATCTTGGTGGATCTCCACCATCTACGGCCTTTAGACGAAAAGTGTAGGTGCTTTCCTTCTCCCGGTCAAAAGAGATGCTGGAGAGGATAGTCCCAGTGCCATTTTGAATGACAAACTTCCCATTATCTGGCTCCACAGAAAGACGCACTCGAGCATTCTCGCCTTTGTCTGCATCAATGACAGTGACCATGCCGACTGGACTGAGCGGGGGCATGTTTTCCGAAACAGAGAAGCTATAGCCATTCAGCATGAATTTAGGGTCATTATCATTGCGGTCCAGCACTTTGACTATTACCGTGGCTGTCCCTCGAAGACTGGGAACACCTTTGTCAGAAGCAGAAACATGAAATTCATAGCGGTCCCTATGTTCACGGTCAAGCTGATTTCTCACCCGCACTTCTCCACTTTTTGAGTCTATTTCAAAAAGACCTTTGGTTGAGGAGTCCAGGACAATGCTGTAAGTTAGTTCTGCATTAGTGCCACTATCTGCATCTGTTGCCACAACATCCACAACCTTGTCACCAGGCTGATTTTCTTCAGCAAAATCCACTTCAAACACACTTGGAGAAAAGATGGGGGAGTTATCATTCACATCTGTAACCTGGACTTTCAAGGAGTTTGTGCTGGACAGAGCTGGGTTTCCAGAATCTACAGCTACAATCTCAATTCGGTAATCTTTGACACGCTCGTAATCTAATAAGGTTGCAGTCTGAAGAAAAAACTTCTTCTTCTTGTCACTTCCAGATTCACTAGCTGGCTTCAACTGGAAAGGGGCATCACCAGCAACCACACAAGTGACTACTGCATTCTCTCCTTCATCACGGTCTGAGACCTGGACCACGGCTACTGGGGTTCCAATGGGCATGTCTTCAGAAATATTGGCTACCCCATCTTGGTGAGTTACCAGACCAATTCCACGGATCTCAATGGAGGGAGCATTATCATTCTGATCCTTTACATTGATGGAAACAAAGACTTTTGAACTCTTCGGTGTGGGTCCTTTGTCCCTGGCAATCACATAGAATTTAAGCACACTTACTTCTTCCCTGTCCACAAGCCCCTTCACATATATCACACCACTAGATCGATCAATCCGCAACAACCTCTGAACAACCTCATTGGCTTGATGGAAAGTGTACTCAATCTCTCCATTGGGCCCCATATCGGAATCAGTTGCTTTCACCTGCAAACAGAGAAGCAAGATTTAAACCTGCACTGAAAAGTAATGCAGAGATCCTACCAGCAGACACATCAGACATCTGATTGAATAAGAAAATTCACAAAAGGATTATTTAAAAATGTATATATCCAGTTTGCATAAAACTCATTCATAGTTTGGACCTGTCAAATAGTACAGAAGTAAAATAATTCTTTGAGTTTAAAAGTTCTAATGAAAATAGCACATACTAAACATCAGAAAGGTAACAGATTAAAAAAAGCTATCTGCCACATCATGCTCATCTGGTTTGTTTTCTCTATAGGACCATAATCGGGAGTGGCTGTGTTTGGGAACAGAGACCCTCCACGTATGAAATCCAGTTTGGACAATTTAGAATAGCCAGTTGACCAAACATGAATGTTTTTGGGAGGTAGGAGGAAACTGGCAAAACCCACATCTTCTATACAGTCAGGCTCCTCAGGCCCAAATCAAACCAAGGAGTCTGGATCTGTGAGGCTGTAATGATATTCATAGCATAACTATTTTTAATTTGGCATATTCCTGATAAAACAAAATGAGCCCACACCTTGGCATAATGAATTACATGTGCTCATCCAGTGCATTAACATAAAATCATTTCATTGTATAATGTTTACTTCCAACCCGTAACCTTACTTAACAAAAAAAGCATGAGAGGATCTGAAATGCAGAGATCTACTCTACCAGTAAAAGTTACCACTCAACTTAATATCATGTTGAAAAAACCTTTCAGTTGAAAATCATATGGTTAAGTGGATTAATTGCTTACTGTTCAATTAATAGTCCTTGGAGCGTCTGACCTCATGTCTGGACATTAGTCTCAATCTGCTGCTGGATTTCCTCCAGTACCATACATATCAGTCCCCAATCGTTGCAACTGTTACCTTTCCCAGAATGCTTTAAAACACATATTTAACCAAAGCAAAAAAAAAAAATACCTCTCTAAAAATATTATTACTTTTCCCAGTTTCCTTAACCCTAACCCGGTTACCTTGGAACTGTGCCCAGGGCCCACAGAGAAATATGAGTACTCCTGGTAAGAGCCTGCTTTTCAGGCAGCTTTTCAGAGCTCAAGTGCACTTGTGGAAAAGCACCACAGTTCAGCAGTTCCAGTTTCACTCTGTATCTCAAAGCTTCCATTTGTTAATTGCTTTTAATATGCATGTTTATACACACCATCCGAACTTAAGACCTTATCTTGAACAGACGAACAGAAATGAAATAGGACAAGACCTTACATTTACTAGAAGTTTCACAAACAACTGTTTCACAAAACAGTTTAAGCTATGAGGATGACATATACAATCTATAGCCTAGAAATCTTCATGTAATTTTACCTGAAGAACAGAATGTCCCACAGGGCTGTTCTCGGGCAGCTGGGCCTCATAACTCCCCTTTTCAAATTTTGGGAAATTGTCATTGGCATCATTGATGGTGACCCTCAGCAAGGCACTGCTGTAACGAGGTGGGTTTCCACCATCCACCACCTTGATGGTAAGGTCGTACGAGTCCTTCTGCTCCCTGTCCAGGTTCCCCATCACAATTAGCTGCGGCAGCTTCTCACCTTGATCCTCTGCCACCTGTAACCCAAAAAGATTCTGTGCATCGGGGCTCACGGTCAGCTCATAGTTAGCAACTCCGTTGCGTCCTGAGTCCCTGTCATTTGCCACAGGAATTGAAAAAAGTGCCCCAATGTGAGTGTTCTCTGGGATTGACAGAGTCAGGATGGGGGAGGAAAATTGTGGTGTGTTGTCATTTATGTCTTGCACCTCAATTTTACCTTCTATTAGACGAGGCCCCTGATTCAGAATGAGGTCTGTAATGGACACCTCAAATTCCAAAATGCAGGGCTCTCCTTCAAAAAGGTTCTGACAGTCTTTCAGGGTCTCTCGGTCAATGGGTATCTCAGTGGTGTATATATCTCCAGTTTTGCCATCTACACGAAGGTAAGGGGCTCCAACTTCTAGCTTGTAAAGATGGCCAGAGTCTGGCAGGCCTTGGTCAGATGCTAAGCTTCCAATCAGTGTGTTGGGTGGCTGCTCTTCAGGTACTTTGTAGATGATACTCCCCAGAGTCCTGTTGCAGAAGACCAGTAACATGGTCCACAAGAGAAGAGGTCCAAGAGACAGATCCATCGCCACAAACAAGACTTCAGCCTAGAATAACAACCAAAAAAAAAAAATTTGAAAGTCAGAGCTGAAATGTCACTGGAACATGCAAATGTTCAAAAAACAATATATTCCGTTATGAAAAATCAAAATGTTCTTCCTGTTTGTGTATAATTCTGTTTGTGTATAATTCCTTAACAGAATAACTGTGAAAAGGTTTATGAGAAAAGTCTTACAAGAACAATACACATTCTGTAATCTTGTAGTTTTATAAATCATGTGTGTATCGAGTGCATATGAAAGCGTGTAAAGCTAAAAGATCGAGGAAGATCATAAATACTGTGTGTCCACCACAGCTGCCGGTATGATCTCACCGCCACAAACAGACAGGGTGAAGCCAGAAAACTCCAGCACGTTCCACCCCTTCAAAGATTTTGTGCAACAAAATCTATTGTGGTGCAGGGGTAATTAAGTTTAATAACAGACTCAGAAGCTGCTGCAGGTTACCCCCCACCCCCACCTGCATCATAAATATTTCTGGGCACTCAAAAACTAGGGAGAAAAAAGATTTCCTATTCTGCTGAGAGACTTGCCAGACCACTAGTTGTGCTACTTAAAATATGGTTTCTTAGTGTTTCTTTAACACCGTCGCTTAATACTTAATTCCTGAGAGTCTTGCAATAATGCATCCCCTTTATTAAATGAAGGACTCATTAACAAGCACATATGAAGCGCATCCCATTAAATTAGTAAAATTCAAGATACACTGCACACATTTTCCCTGCCATAATTTATTTCTAATATTGAAAATGATGTACCTTAATTAATGTATTTATTTTAACTTTTTTATTTTATTTCCATCAAGGTTAGAGTGCCTTCTTTGATGTTCTTGTATTTGAGTAATTGCAGAGGCACTTTTACATTTGGGAAACAACTGCCTATTATTGTCATCCTAATGAGAGACTTTCCAAAAGGTGGGACTAGACTGATCCCTGACCTTCAGACTTTTTAAATTTTAAATTTTAAATCACTGCAGCTCATGTTTTATTTTAACTAATGCCTTAAGGTTTTAAAGGATATATTAATATTAAGAGGATTAAACTATATCCAATCCCTGCTATGCCAGTGTTTTTGGAGTTTGTCAGGGCACTAAAGGTGCCATGTACATAGGAAAGACACACAAGACATTGTGCATACCAGGCTAATGTTAAGCCATTGAAGTCTTTGAAAATAGCAAAACTGCTCGCACCCTGTTCACTGTTAAATTGATCCATATTTTTTAGAAGCTGCAGTTTAACTATAGATTCTAATTATGTCAAAGATGCTCTCATAACTATTAATATTAATAACTATTTGACATTTCTGCAGATATAGAGGATCTAATTAAAATCTGAAATAACAAAATGATGGGTTTGGAATACATCTCCAGACTTATCTTTTGTATCCTCCACAGTGCACTGCCAAATATCTTTCAGACAGCCAAGCTGATCTACTTTTGTTGTCTGTAACAGGCTCAATAGAACTGAAGCAATCCTCTCGGTATTTCACAATGTGCTGATGAAGGAGTGAGCAATCACTTGAAGCATTTTTACCTCCAATGAAAAAGGTAAGTAATTTCAACTATTTGTAGCTAAGATGAGATGACTCACCTCCCATCTGTGTTAAGAAAAAGAAGGATGTATTTTACTGCCTAAATTGTATGAGGTTTACTGGAAACTGTGTAAAGATACATTAGATAGCTTTATAAGGGGACATTTTTATAATGTTATTTAATAACTAAAAGGCACTATATTCTAAGTGAAGAAGTTCAACTTCATTTTACAATCACTTTTCTACAATTATTTTCACAAACAGAATGTCACGGCAGATTGAAATCTGTGTCAGTGCATAACTTGTGGTATTGACAAAACTAAATTGGAAACTTTATAAATGAAATATAATTTTAAAGTGAAATCTCTAAATGTACAGATCTGAAAAGGCTATAATAAATGAGTAATGAATACTGAAACGGATGGATGGGCAAGTATTAATATAGTCATATTTCACAGAAACATGTCCCATTGGCCAAAATGTTTTATTTAAAATTCGATTTAGTAGTCAAACATCAAAATATAATCTGCATGTTTGCCATTTTAAATAATCACGCCGTGTTCAAAGAGCTTTTTATAGCTGAAAGCTTCTGCACAACTACCACCAAGCCGAAAAATACATTATACTGTCTGGTTAGAGAAGCAAAGCTACTGGTTCACTGTGACAACAGTCTACAATACAATATAATTTTACATGTGCCATATGGACATCAGCAACATTAGGAATATTGTACTCAAACTGAAGCAGGATTCAAAATGAACTAACTAAAAAACACACACCTAATAATCAGCCCCTTCAGCAGGGTCAATGGAGCCATAATGAACGTGAGGGGACAGTTATTTTTTACGTCTACAGAATCTGTCCCCTTTTGAGTTTGCAGCTTCTGTCATCTTGTGGAGAGCGACATCTCCTAGGACATGCTTTCAGAAACAGAAAGCAAAACCATTAATTCATAAGGCAAAAGAATGGAGGCTTTAGCCATGGCAACATTTCATTGAAGTTTTTTTGCCATTTTTATGTGCTGCTGTGTAAAGTTTTAGAAAAAGATCCAGTTAGCAAGACACTTGAACTGCATTCCTCTGTATTTATAGAATGCTTGGTTGAAGTCATGTTTTCATCCAACACTGCTACCCTCCCAAAAATATCAACATTCTTGTTTTCATCTCAGTGTTGTTACTATCCTTTCTGCTGTTTTAACCTAAACAAAAGGTGCTTAAAGCCTTGTAAAAGAATAATTGATATTCTGACAAACACCTACCCTTCTGACATACCAGTAATGTATTAAATATGTACAGCAAGCTGTTTATCACTCACCCATGCCACCTGGCACAAAAAGCTTTTAAATATCAGAGTTTTAACAGTAAAGAATAGTGAAAATAATCTGAAGTTCACAATGCAGGATGTCTTGCTGCCTGCCACAAAAGTATAAGCCAGGTGATTCACTGGAATTATCAAGCTTTTTTCTTTGTCGATGCTTTTAAATACAATAGATTGTTGAAGATAATAAGGTTTGTCTAGCTGTGCCACTGAAAATCCATTTGTCAACACTGACTTCCAGCAAAAGACAAATACAGTAGGAGCTAAATAGAATGTAATCAGTAACAATATTTTGTGGGTTTAAAGAAGCTCTGTAATTACAGTATAAAACATATTCATGGAAGGGATTTAAGGTCACAGTGTTCTACACATTTTCAACTTTGGCACAAAGCTCTAAGGACTAGGATAGACCTAAGGTTGACCAAGATTGAAAATTTCCCCTTTGGGGAATGTATACAAATGGAAAACTACCAGGAATAATCTGTTGGTGTTAACAGACAAAAACAGTGTTATATTTGTGATGGAAATATAAGTCTCACCTTTGACTTTCTGACCTTCTGTGCTCAAAGCTGACCCCATCAAATTCAACACCCTCATGCAAACCCTTAAGAGATCATCCACTGGAAAGCTTTTGATTGGTCACTGACTGAAAGGTGTGATGTTTAACTGCTTTTTTCAGAGTGACTAGGCAATGGGCAGTTTATGGTTAGATTAATTGCCTTATCCCAAGAGGCCCAGTGCTTACAAAATCACTAAATGTCCTCATCCGTCACAACACAGTGCACTTAACTCTTGCAAAACATCTGTAGCATTAGTATTTTATTGAATTCTTAGTTGTAATTGGATGTAGTTATGTATTGCATTTATATTGTGCAAAAACTAAAGCAAGTACGGAGAAATCTGTGGGCCTGCATATTGCAGGATATGGTCATTTTTATTCAGTGCAGTTATTGTATTCAAGAGTCATCTGGGGAATACAGGGTTTGTGTCTCAAGAGGCTAAAATCAAGAACAACATGCTTGAACGTGGGTGGTCTAGGGTCCCCCTGGAGATAAAGAGGATTATTTTAATTATTTCTTTTAGACTGTGTTTGGCTAGATTAGTCCTAAATGAGATGCTGCTAACTGTTGCCTTTTCGGTCTACTTTAACAGTCTCATAGCCAGGGCAAATTGAGATGCAGAGCATGTGGGTTAACATAGTTAGAACTAAGCACTGTAACGAAACACAGCTTCGTTAGGTAGTAGGTAGTGCTTTCATTTGTTCTTTAGGTTTAGATGGCATTTAAAAGCTACCACTTAAGCAGTAAGCTAATCACCTGCTAGAAAGTCACCTAAGAGAAAGTCTAATGAAATAGTGAAACATAGCACAAAGAACAATAAACGTTAAAAGGTCATCTACTCGTCTTCTTTAGGGCACTGCACTTTCAGGTAGATCTGCACTATCCCATTATACAACAAACCGCTTCCACTAAAAGAGCACAGATAATGTCATCTGTTGTATGTTGTACTGTTTGTTTCTCTACACTTTTCCAGCAATCTGTGACAACAGCAATAAATGCTTAATGCTGTTATTCTTAGTAAAATATTTGCGTGAACTGAGTTTATGTATAATGGAAAATGGAAATTTTGCTCTAGATAAAAGATGGCATATTAATAAATGACTTGTCATTATTAATTAATTAAATTATTGATGTAAATTCTCCCTTTGACTTTTATAGTTGTCAAAAATGTTTCTGTTTAGATGTGGGATCACCAGCATTAGAACAAGTGAAACATTCTCCAAACAACTGGAATGTTCCCTATCCTCTGGCGTCAGGGCTGCCAACATGATGCAAACCACATGGGCTGATGGAAATTAAATGGCATCTTAACAAGTAAATCAAAGAAATGTGATTTTTTTGGCCAATCTGTAATAAAACGGAAGGCAAGACAAGGAGAAAGAAATTCAGTTTTAAGCTCTCGTCTTACCGTCTCAGCCATTTGCTTTAATAAATAACAACACATTTGCCATATGGTAAATGGTCATGCTGGATGTTTTAGCATGTATTAAGTGAGCTGGTTAACACAATTTCAGTTTTTGTATGATGCAAAGCACCATGAAGATTTTATCTTTAATTCTTTTATCCATCTATTTCCTATCCACCTTATCCAATACTGGGTTGCATGGGAGCTGGAGTTTATCTATGCAAGCAATGGGAGCAAAGTGCGATACACCCGGACAGAAGCCAGCCCCAACACAGGGCACACTGACATACACTTAAACCAAGGAGAGTTTTCACAGAAGACAATCTACCTTTTCCTTCCACCTTTGGACTGTGGGAAGAAACCGGAGCACCTGGAAGAAACCCATGCAAACACTGGGTGAGCTAGGAAGCAATGCCGCTCGGCTATGTTGTTTGCTATTAACAGTGTCATCGGCAGACAAAACAGGAGCTTGTCCACAACAGCAAAATACATCACACATCTTTTCTGAAGACTACCTACATCACAGCACTATTCATAACAGACATTATTTAAATGTGCAGTGTTGAGCTTTCATATAAAAGGTTGAGCCCACCAGGCTAATTTAAGCTACAGATCATATATTTGAGACAGATAATCCAACATCAAAAAACACCAGAAATACTAATGGCATTAAGAAGCAGTTACACACAAATGTGCAATTATATTAAAGAATCTGCATGCATATTGCATATTACACACATCACCAATTTGCAAGCTTTTAGAGAAATGTGCATTTATTTTCACTACATTAAAATCACTTAGATTTTGCATGGATTTCAAAATAAATGTTAACACCAATCTGATTCCAGCAAGGAGGTAGAAGCAGAATGGAGACAAAAATGGTGTTAATATGACAACACTTCATAAAAAATTAGGAGCACATGTTGATACACAAAATAAAGAAAATGTATGACTATTTTAAAATTAACATTGATCGAAGCACTGCAGACTTTGTAGGTGACCATTTGCAATTTTACTTACTACAGTGAAAATCGACAACATGTAGCAATTCACTAGGCAGGGATGTGGGAATATGGAACAAGCTACCCAGCGATATTGTAGAAGCCAATACCCAGGAGTTATGAAGCCAACTTTATACAGTCTAGATATACCAAATGGCCTTTTCTCTCCTTTAAAATTGTTCTTACACTTCTGTGCAGCATAAATATATCTGCAGTTTTTAACACACTTGAACATCCCATGTCATTTGCCAAAGTGTTTTTAATCCCAACAAAATGTAATCTAGCTGTGATAAACGCAAGTTCGTCCTTCAGCATCCTGCATTTTCCCGTTTATTTTTTTATTTATGTGCTTCAGTTTTCTCCATTCATACTTCATACAAAACTAGAATGCCATCTCATGTAGAGTTCTTTGCTGAACATCTCCCCATTCTTTGCTGGTGTGCCATCGCATATACTGCATTTTAATTAGTTATCAGCGGGATTGTTGCATACACACTGTCATTTTTAAAACACCCCAAGAAAGTACAACTAAAAGCTAAAACTGAAGACAACAAACAGCTTTGTTAAACAAAGCTGAAATGCACTGTTTAAGCTGTATTGCAGGAAACAGATTTAGAAAACTATAAAAGAAAACAAAACTAAACTCACAAAGACATTGGTATTAAATACATGTCTTCTGCCAGAGACACGAGGGGAATTTTCACTTACCAAAGTGAAAACATGCAACATAAAAAGATGAATGGTTTTCATCACTTCAAATCACTAGTGTCTGCATATTTGTATGTTGTTTTAAATCAACATGCATCTGTGTAATATTCAGTTTACTAATATCCTGAAGTGGTACATTAAAGAAGGTATGATAAAAGCTTTTGGCGATACCATCAGTTTATACTTCTACCCAGAAGTAATGTCACCTGAAATGTCACTCATTCTAGTTCTGCTAAAACCAAGGAAAGATAAATGATGTTAGAACTAGGCACCCTAATTTAAAACAAACCACAAAATCCCCCACCACACACACTCTCCTCCCACTTCAAAGCAAAACACCATTTCCATATGACCACAAATACATCTAATAACGTCAGTGGTAAAATGCTAAATCATGCAGAACGATCTGTAGCTTCAAACATGGGAAGTAGTTTGTTACTGTCACAATTATGTTAACATCAAACTCTCTAGATCTCACATTTTATTCCATTCAAATAGCAGTTTAAAACTATTTTGACACATTAAATTACTCTCAAAAAGCTATAAGAACACTGGCCCCGGTCAAATGCATAGTTCACATTAAACTGACAAGTGTAAATGATTGGACACATTACAAAATATGCAAGTTTTTAAAACACATTTTTTCCCGTGTAATTAAAAATGAATTCAGATAATAGTTTCCATACTTCTTTAACATTGCAATGTCATTTTAAGACATATCATTCTAAAAACTGCACATCAAGTTGAAATAATCTATCGGCGTTCTATAATTGTCCTGCACTTTGACCTTTTGGGTGCAGGGCATTACACTATATAATTTTGAAATCTCTATTTTTATGTCTCATCATAATTTTAACGTTGAATGCAGCAGAAATACGCCTGGACTCACTTAAAGACAACCGCTTTCATTAATAACTATACGTGAAAATAATATTGATAATTGCTGTAGTTAAACACTACTTTTGGAATGTAAGACTATCATAATCACGGTCAAGACACAAAAATGTTTCGCCAGACATTTAAAACTACCCTATTTAAAAATCGCTGTACATATCATGATGTATGGCCGCTAAACACTTATTAATCGCTCTGTTTTAACAATTCCAAATCAATATCTGACTTTAGTGAGAATCATGTCCAGTCCATGATAGTGCTCAAAAAGATTTCCAGACACCAGCCTCGGCTTTCGTCCAAATCCAGAATTACACTTTCCAGATTAATTAATGGCTACCTCGGAAAAACAGGGTCAAACCGGAGAGTGGAGATCGTATTAATGAGGAACAAAATCCTTCTGCTTGCAAATATTATTCTCTACTACAACAAATCTTCCCGCTCCTTTCATTTTCAGCTTTACCTTTCGGAGAGCAACTGACTGCATTGCCTATTCAGTGGCGCTCAACAGAACAATGTTCGTATTCTTTCTACGTAAACTGATAAGTAAAAAAAATTTCAAATAAATTGCTCTGTCATCTTAAATCAATCCATTTTTAATTGGGCTAAACCCAGAATGTAAATGAATTAGCAGGGCACTTCAAACTGAAAGGCAGAGTACCTGATTTCGAATATGTATAATTTTTACGTGAAGCAAGGTAGCAGCACCCTAACAAGAGTTTCTTTCAAGGCTCGTTCACTTTGGCTGAGCAGCAGAACAAGTCTGATGATGCTGCATTCTCCCTCTCATGACACTGTTGCTCCTTGGCTCACAAACTGCATTTAATCCTATTAAAATCACCGCCGTTAGATCCACCGTCTCATTACCAAAATCCGATTCACTACTCCTCCTTAACCGTGTTATTTCAAATACATAATTATTTTGTGTAAACCACAGCTCTTCATAAAATCAAACCCTTCCGTTCAACTTTTTTTTACAATGTTTTAATGTGTCAGTCTACGCGGTATTCATTAGCCTCTAAATGAGTTTACGGTACGATGCAGGTACAAGTGCAGTTGGAATAAATATTTGGTTTCTGCAGTAATGTAGCTTATAACACAGTATAAAAAGATTTCCTAAATTTCAGAATGCAGGAGATTTACAGCCCTGAAACTCGAAGCTTTCGATGTGCACTGGTCACCAAATGGGTATTTACACAGTTCAACGAGTCGGCATTTTCACACGTTTTTCCAAAGGTGGAACAAAAGGCTATTAGGATGTAAAACATTCCCTAAAGATCGCACCTCTGGTGCACAACCTCGAATAACAGGTTTAAACCACACCGTGAAAACTGTGGCAACCAGAAGAAGCTGTAAAACCGGAATCTCCAGTTACGACAACAGCAAGTGAACTGTCTGCTAAATTGCACAGGGAGCGGAAGACTGGTAGACTACTAAAATACAGCAAAATACAATCAGCTAGGAAGTCAACAAAGATTTAGTTAACCCTATCAATTATACATCACATTTATGGTTTTCTTCGCAGAGAATGGTACGTCTTGACGACTAATGTCGAAATCAACCGCTGACTGCGCTTTCCTAATGAGCTACAGGTGTTCATCGGAGAACACCGTGGATTACATTAAACTTGAAAAACACAAAAACGTGCAAACCACAATATATTTAAAATTCTGGTCACCGATGCTTTTGCGCAAGAAAACCTCACCACCAGCGAAATGTTAATAAACTACACTACAACATTCTAATTGACAACACTTGTGAACAGACATTTTATAGTCTGCGCTTTATTTCATTGATAGCGAAGATATTGTGCGTAGATTAACGGGTTCCATTATTTTATCTAGAAAAAAATAGGAAAACTATGCTTTAGGCATCAGGCACAGTGAAGCCTAACAGTAATATTATACCATGCTGTATTTGCGTTATGCGCTGTATTTCCTTGGTTTTTAAGCGCTTTCATATCTGTTATCTAGAGCCGTGCATTTAAAAAATATTGTCAGAGCGTCTATACCATCGGTATAGCCTGAACCACAGACACAGCACAGGGAAGTAGTAGGGGTAAAAAATAGATCAATACGTGTTTCATGAGAGCAGCAAGCTCTTCAAAAAAGACTAGCTCACAGCTTGGCGGTCCCGTGTGGTATGATGGATATATGAATGGAAAATATTTCTAAATAAGTGGAAGCAACATGCACTGTATATTGCTACAGTCGGAGTTGAAATAGTTTAAAAAGATTTTTTTATATAAATTATAATAGAGATCAGAATTCAAACCATTCGGTGAATAAAAATGTTATAATTTTGGGGAAGACAACAAGTGTTCCCTTCATATACATTTGAGTCTTTAACGCCGCGACACTTTTTTATACCTAATAAGTCGCTGACTGTTTCATGCGAAGCCATTATTATTTAAATAGTGCTTTCAGTTTGAAAGCTTAAGATCTAATGTTTGAACGCATTATGTATTCAAGTTGTGAGTAAATGCTTTTGAATAAGAATCGCCCCGTTTCCTACAATACACGTACATTAACTTACAAACTTAAAAGAATAGGAACACTTAAGACTAGTGGATGTGTGCTGTGTGTACATCATAAAACATGCTAAGTGAATGCGGAATCATTTATATTTCTGAACGCGAAAAATAAAACATATGATGAAATACACTGCAATGAGGTTTCACTTGTGTGTTATTAAGTTACAAATAATGTTTCACTTTTAATTGTATTTTTATTTGTAACCTTCTGAATCTCCTACCTTAGCGGGCGAGAACTCCTCTAAGCCGGCTCCGTGCGCTTGTGCCGGGCTAGGAGCGGCGCTCTCTCTCGGTTCTCTAAGGCAGCCACTTCAGCCCACAAACTCCCACGTTTAAAAAAAAAAAATCCAGCTTTTAAGAAAACGCCATCCGCAGAGGAGCAAAAAACCCCAAAGAATCCTCTATACCATCGGTGAAAGCTATTCCACAAATCCTTCTAAAGGTCCACACGGTTTTTGCTGCCGTCTATTTCAGTAAACACTGCGATGGATGGAAACGTATCAGTCCGACAAAATCTTGATTGCAGTAATGCCCACGTGATTTTCCCCCTACAGAAAGCAGCCCAAAGTGTCTGAAACTCCGAACTGGTCTTACTGCATTCCGTTGCTCGGGCTACAAGGCTGTGTCACTGCCACTAAGCTCATAATATATTGTCATCTTAATGCATTTTCACTCTTATGGGTTTTCCCATTCGATATGAATTATACAGAATAAAGTGACGAGTTCTGGTCAACGGCTTCCAAAGCACGCACACTTTCTACCCTTTTTAATCTTTTTTGGCACTCTGCAATCTTAGGATGCCCCAGACTCGTTCACACAGCAGCACACCTTGCACAGCTCGGGCAATGCATATGAGTGTGAAGCAATTTCCAATCCCTCTTCTCTTCTCTCTCTTCTGTACGAGGCTCGCAAGAGAGGAGACACGGGAGGTGGAGCTATTCGGGAACTCTTCAGCTTTATCAGATTTGTTAGTACTTAACCGTCACCTGCTACACAGGGATTATTTTAGTGAGAAGTATCTTACTCTTTAAAAAAACATTATTTTATCAATAAGAATCAGACAATACTACGGATCTTAGAACGGATTAGATATTATAGTGGTGAAATGAGACGCATAGCCCTATTCGTATCAAATTTAAGAGACGTATTGACCAACAATTTTTGGTATCAGTTATCAGTAATTTTTAAAATATTCCGTCTGGCAGAGCCTCAGTTCCCATTTCCTTGAAGTTTTGTAACGCTTTTCTCATATGACATTTCAAAACGCATTAGCTTTCAAGCACCAATGTGAAGACAGGTCGCCAGAAAATCACGCATTAGCCAACGATTTTCCACTCATTGGAAGACCGTTGTTAATCAGTTTTCTCTGATAGGCCATACAGAAAGGGTCAACAGAAATACTTACCGTTTTCAATGAGGGAGTAGGGTGTTCAGTCGAGGTTTTTACAGATTTTTGTTTCACTATTGCAATTGGAGATGGAATAAGTATAAGGAAAAAAAGGTCCCCTAGCTCTTGACCAAGTATCGAAACCTACAATTATACAAGGATAGGGTTCTGTGAATGTTGTTTGTTGAGAGAAGATAATACGCTAGTAAATGGGCTTTTTACTCGCTTGGTTTAGAGATGCATTTCAATCGCCCCCTTGCACAATCCTAACATCGCGCGGAAAATTGCTTCTGATAAGGAGGATGAGTGTTTCAAATCTACATTTCTTAGTGAGGTATGCTATTGAAGCGGTTTGCGTGTCTTGTGTTTTGTTCCGAAAATTGTTTTGGTTTGTTTATAATAACTACACAAGAAATACCTTTTAAAAAGCAATACCACGTCCAAGGTGTATATGATCTGTGGTTAGAACCAATAGCGGCGGTTAAAGTCGATAATGTAAGACTGCAGGACGGTAACAGGAATAAATAATGTTCAATAATCCATCATCACTTGTTGCCATTTTCCATTATGATAGCAATGAGAGTGCTTGTGAAATATGAAGTAATGTCCATGCTTTCATAGATGCTGTTTGATATGTAAGAAATTATTAATTTCATTCTGAAACGACTGTTTCGTTCACTAAAATATGAAACGTGTCCATCCTTGATAAATAATCTGCGATTGATTCGAGTCACTTTAAGACCAAAAAATACGTTCATGTGAAAACCTATGCGGTAAATCTACAGTACAATCAAGCACAGTATGATGTAGTCAGTACTGGTGATTTTTTGTGAAGATATATGTGAATGCTACGTTATATTGTAACGTTAATTTAACGTGTAATATCTGCTTTCCGCCAGACACAAACTGTAAGATACCAACACCTAAAATGAAAAAAAAAATCTGAATTGCTGTCAATTGTCCAGCACTACCCAGCGGGAAGCTTTCTTTGTTCTAATGGCGCCACCTTCAGGTATTTATACGAATCTCTAAGAAGAAAAAATATACAGCACCTCCGTTATCATGTTGTGAAGACAGTCGAGAGGTTTTCGTCTAAGGAACAATAGTGAGTTTTATTACCTGTTTGTCATATATTGTAACAGTGCCCACAACAAGGTTTTAGAAACGCGTGTAAAATCAGAATACAATGTTTTTAAAACAAAGGTTCAAATGTCAGCTTCAGTATGTTGTTGCAACAAGTACAGGTTAATTCATCCCGTCACTCCTAATGCATAGCCGAAACGTTTTTTTCTTTAAAAAAAACTATTTTTGATAATTTGCTGGCCACTTGCTGTTCTAGCTCCTTACTCGAACTGTACAGTATGTTATTTTAGGCCTCACGTTAAACTTATGATTAAAGTTGTTATTAACTTTGAATTCAAGCATTTGTGTTTTCGTAAAAGACTTAAAATGTATTTTAATTGACTTTTTGCTATTATTCTTGCATTAAACACATGAATTATGAAATACAATATATTGCAAATTATTCAGAAATTCAGAGCATTTTATATGGTTTATTACTGGCAAACATATCGGATAAAAGACATTTAAATATGTATGAAGACTATTTTGTCTAGTATAAATATCTTCAAACACTCAACACAAACACACACATCATACATTATATTACTGCAATTAGTAATTACTGCAGCAAGCTTAGTTTTAAGACAAATTTATTTTCAACAGAAAACTCATTTGCTGTTGAGATATAACCAGTGCTGCCATGATTTTTTTGGCCTGAGGCCACTACTTTAAAGAATGACCACCATACCAGAACAGAGATTCAGACTGTATATCTTGTGAGCTGAACAGTGAGATTCAGAATTGTAAAAAGGGTAACAGAACCATATATTAATGAGCTCATCAAAGACATTTGTCAGAAGCGGGTTAAGGCCTATAGGTTCTTCATTAGACACTGAATTAAACTCTTATCTTGCCCCTGAGCAGGATGAAAGGTTGAGCAAACACTGAGATCAGGATCAAAGCTGAGTGATTCACAATGGTATAAAACAGCCCCCAATCAAGACAGAAGTCAGGAATATGAAACAGATGACTTTTAGGTTAGGTTAGAGAACACTGTCATTGTTGTAAAGTGTCATGAAAGTCAACTACATGAAAGCACTGTATTCAATTATGAACTTTGAGATTTGTTATATTCAATACAATACTTGCAATATTGTCTTATCTTGCTCTTAATTTTGCTTTTTTTTTCAAAGTTGAAAAGAAGGAATTTCTTTTATGACCATATGGCACACAGCTAAATAAACCAACAGTTGGTCCATTTTTAGTGCCTTTAACTATTTGGGTCTTACAGAAACAGTTTACAGAACAGTCTGTTACATTGAGGGAGGTAAAACTTCATTTCCTTTCATACAGAATCCAGTTATCTAAAGGTGACTCACAATAAGCGAAAAATTCAGTAATATTGTTCTACAAGATTTTGCCTTGCAAACAAAAATATTACCATTGATTTTTTCAGCATATACTAAATCATAGAAATATATGAGAATCCAAGGCACACATAAAACATGTATTTTCCAGAGGTGTCAAACTATAAAGAACTAACTTCAGTGACATTTTCTTCTTTAACATTTCATCATATATGCTGTACATATGCAAAAAACATTGTTTATGTAATTCTGAAATTTTTGGTCTGATATCACTGTCTGGAAAGTATTTGATGAGATCAGAAATGCTTTAAAATGTATATTACAATTTCTTTCTTTCTTTTAAGTCTTTTCCCTTCAATACAGTACAGGTCTGGAATTTTTTTATGAAGTACATGATACCAAAAGTCTTCCTTGCTGTCCTGTTTAAGTCATTTGTCTCACTTTACTAATGTTACCAGCTATTCCAAATCTAAGTAATCAATTACATTTGTAATTCCATTATATTTTACCCTTGCTGTACTTAGCATTATGGAGCATGTTTTCAAGGAAGTCAAAATTAACATGCCTTTTTTTATTGAATCAAGTAAGATCATTTTCACAGATGTACTATCTAACCCCTGAAGCATCTAAAACCCTTTAGAAGGTTAAAAAAATGAATATAGATGCTCAAAAAGCAACATAGTTTTCAGAGCAACAGATTAGTTAACCTTTTGTGTATAGAAATAACTAGGAAGTGATATCTTGCTCAGCTGTTGACAAATATATACACCCATTGCTTGTACCTATTTCAAGAGAATTGACCATTTTCTATGTCATTAGGTACTTCATTAGGAAAATATATAGGTTGCATCTGCAAAGCAGTAAGCACTACCATAGAAAATGAAACACTATGTATAAACTGGTGTCTATGAAAACCACAACGCTACCTCTATAGTGTGAGCTGCTTGAATGAGTACAATATTAACATTTTTTAAAATAATGATGTTATGCCTTGGCCGGTGGCCGCGCACTGCTGTGGTGGAAAAGACAAGCTGGGATCTAACTTCAGGACTCAGGTTTCTCTGTGGAGCTTTGTGAAGACCAGAGGGTGAGAGGAGCAAAGTAAGCTGGCAGAGCCAGACTGACAGGGAAGCAGACTTACAAGAAAAGACTGATGGGTTGATGGCTGACAGAAAAGCCTGGTGAGTCGAGGCTGACAGCGGAGGCCTGTTGAGTCAAGGTATGACAGGGAGCGTTTGGCAAGTTGAGGATGACAGGGAAAAACTCCCCACTGGATCAGTGCCGACAATGGGTGATGATCTGAAAGGAGAAATAGGATGGTGTTTCTGGGATTCAGGTTTCTGCAAAAGCAGTTTTCCCAAAGCAGGCCGGATGCTACACTACCCTAGGATATCTCAATTTTAGAGCACTGATCCAGTGTGGTTTTCGGGCTTAAATGTGGTGCCTAATTGGAGGGCAGAATGGACGATTGGGTGGCTTATTGGAAGAGAGAGAGAGGCAAACAGATAGGCACCCCAACCTGGTCCTCACAGGCTCGGGAGGTATGCAAGTGCTTATGGGAATACTGAGGCTTTCCCTGGCAATCTCAGCTACTCCCAGCTATATAAAGATACTTTATTTAAATAGTGGTATGGAATATATGAACACTGTCTTGTGTATATATTTATATGAACACATATATGTCTATGTGTAAGTTTGTGTAATTAATTATAACAATTATAACAGATTCTGACTAATTCTTTTTTCAGTTTTGCTATAAACAGTGTATTCAATTTCCTTTCAATACATTGTTATCACATTCTATTTCATATCTATTGAACACATTTCATATGTACTTGAAAATACATTTGATATGAACATAAGAAATAGAAAACCAAAAATAATATACACCCCCTGTCCTGTTTTCCCTCCATGTGTTGAGCAGTGTTATGGGCACTGAAAATAAAGCCACAGTATCCGGCTGCAGGAGAAGTAAAATGCTTCAAGGATTTGACTGCATCAGCAGCTGCACTCTATGCATACTCCTTCATATGCTCACTGGCAACATGGATCCAAGAAGAAGAGAGATCTTAAA